TTGGAACAGTTTCGCATCGAAAGTGGAAAGGGGTATAGATTTTATATGTAAGCTCCTTTTAACGTGCTAAATTAACTTGAAAGAAAATATAATTTCGTAAAGAATGCTGGTTTCTTTTTTCTTCTTTTATCAACGCAGTAGAAACCAGACAAATGATTCTTAAATTTTTTGTCTGTTTATCTGTTTGTCTGTGCGTTTGTATGCGCTAATCTCAGAAACGGCTTAACCGATTTGGGTGCAACTTATTCAATATAGGCTTATTTTAAGCTCTTATTGAACGTCAAAACCTACCACCGGTCCACTAAACTAAACCTGCCAGAGAAGAACCGGCAAGAAACTTTGCGGTCTTATCTTTTTTTCCTTTTTTGAATGATGTAAATACATACACAAACGTAGGTATTTAAGTATAAAATTAGCAGGAGCCAGGGAGGGAACATGCAAGTGCAGAACAATAAATATACAGAAATGTCTACCCTCTATTTGCCGTTTTCATATTACTTCCATTCCATCAAAGTACCACATACCAGATAGTGATTTGTGCGTTAAAAGGTAACACGGAAATCTCGTCAACCTTGGTTTGCAAGCGCAACGGAACCACTAGGCCATTATTTAACAATTGAACGATGTAGTTAACGTTCCACCTTTGCGCAAGCGCACTCTAAGTGCGTTGCGTTGATCTATTAGCGTGCGGCCGACACACTTCGCTTACGAAACCCGCTCCCAAGCTCTATGGCTCTGTTGTTCCCCTGTTGTGATGCCATTGCGCAACGCACCGAAAGATCACGCCCCCTTTCCCGTCCAGTGCTTTCTCCTTTTCAACCGACTTCGAAAAGGAGGAGTTTCTCAATTCGACTGTATTTTTTTATGTTTTGTTACCTCAGATCTTTCAACTTCCTTGTATTAACTGATGTTTTTGCTTTCAGTCCCGAGACTATTAAAGCTTCATCTGACGCAGAACCGGTGGGCTAGCCAGAACCCACGGGTTCGGGACTTTCGACTGAGTGAGCCTATTCACGTGGTCCCATTTTAATGTTATTGGTATTGGATCTTGGGCTCCGGAGATTGAAAACGGAACGAGATATTTGAAGTCGGGTTTGTCTTTCGTTAATAATAACTAAAAATCTCGTCAATTTCCTCGTTTAATTTTGACGCGTAATCGAATATTTACAGAGGAGCACCCTGGGAGCAATGCTTTTAGCAAGATTAATTTGCAAACAATCTCACCTAGATTAGGTGGCATAGTTGCTAAGCTATTGGCTTCGGCGCCGTGGCTCTTGGGTTCGATTCACACACGGAACAAGTACTTGTGTGACCCACATATCTGGATGTTTGTTCTGAAGTTGACGTCAGACAGGCGGCTGGACGTAAAAAACCCAGCCAATAGCAATTTATTTATCATCATTTCCATATACGGGTAGGAGAGTGGTGATGATGATGAACTTGCAAACAATCTATTGAGTCTTACCGAGCTAGGCAATATCGCTAATTATATAATAAAGGTTTATTTAAACAAATAATAGAGAACAAAAACATCAATTACAGTATTAAACACAGTAAGTACGTTTTTGCTTTGCCCACCATGAGCCAAGAGTATTGATTCTTAAATTTGACAGATCATTAGTGTCGTTGCTGTTTATCAGGCATAAAAAATTGAATAAACTTTGAACTCGCAAAGTAAGACAATAATTCCGACGTCGCAACCACGGGGCTATGATATACATTATGCTCAGTTGTAGTAATGTTGCGAGTCTAGTAGCCATATTAGCGTGACGAGTTTACGAGCGTATCACACCTAAGTTTAGACTATTTCGAGGCTTACAAATACAATAAAAAAACAGCAATCTTGCAACACGCTCGTGTCGTTGATTTGTTCATCGATTTCTCGTTCGTAGAATTTGAATATTTTAATGTTTTAAGAAAAGAAATAACTATAAAGAGGATACCTACGAAGTTTTTTTCGCCTGTTTCTTCTCCGTTACAGGAACCTCATTACGAAACGGTTGTAGGTTTAAAAAAAACCGGCATAATATGAGTCGGACTCGCGCAAGAAGGCTTTTGTACAAGGGATTCGTATAATAAACGACAAAAAAATCATGACTGTTGTACGGGAGCCCCACTAAAATATTTTTAGTACTTGTTGTTATAACGGCAACAGAAATACATCTCAATTTGAACTGTCTAACTATCACGGTTCATGAGATATAGCCTGATGATAGATGGACAGAGAGACAGCGCAGTCTTAGTAATAGGGTCCCGTTTTACCCTTTGGGTACGAGACCCTAAAAATGAATATCGAGAGATGAAATTTATGTTTGTTATTTCTATAAATAAATTGTTTGATTTCAAATTTTTTGCGATCGGATTGCTGCAACAGGCACCTCACTATAGCTGCGCCGTAGAGTAGTGCGGCGCATTGTTCTCGCTCGTTGCCCAATCGGGGAGAGGGGCTTTTCATCGGACACGATGCTCTGCAAACAGAGCTTTGTTGATGCGAGTAGATTGCACCGTTGAAACCGCAGTGAACGAAATCAATGGCAGTTGATTCGGGAGCTCTCGTTCGATTTAACTCTAGTCTGTTCCGGTGTGATAAAACATTAAAAACTTAAGTCTCTTTCATATGATAATTTTTAACTACAGCAACACATTTAGAATAAGAATATAACAATCTGTATAAGTAATAATTGTAAAATCAAAGTTATCTTCAGCGCGTGAGCGATGCGAGTTTTATTTTGTGGATATGTAGGTAATGACATACGTCCGAAACAAATTAATATTTAGTAAGCAAATTAAACGACTTTATAATCAATACTAATTTGGAATACAATCTATTAATTTTAATAGACAGTTTTTAGGTTGAATTTTAAAATATCCCCTACGATAAATTAGATAATTTGCCCCTTGGAAACTTGTTTTTCTAGTTTGCAAAGACTTGCCAATAGCATCATGTTTACTTTTCTTTTCTGCATTCAGATGCATCATGTATCGGTCAAGGCTCGAACTTTCGTAATCTGCGGAGATTTGAACACGGTGATACTTTCACAAACGTAACTAATGTAGCGTTAATACGTAGGCCATATAATAGTGCCCTAATAAAGCAGAGAGCCTTAATGCCTTGAAGAAAATTAAAAAAAAATCGCTCGAATAAATTAAACAACCAGAAGCGTTTCAATGATAAGTAAAGGCACATAACGTGTAGATCTTTCTCGCCGACTCAAGGACTCTGACGCACGTCTATAAATTGCATTTCGTCCTACAAACAGCCGCGACTTATCTCGGCGCCCGTGACACTTGACCCGTATCGATAAAGCGTCGTTACCAGCAGCCCCTGTCTTAATTTGTTTGTGATTCAAATCCATTATTGCGAAAGGGGCTCCAGTGGTTAGCACCTCGCCGGGCGTCGGCTCTATGGGCAATTAATTTGGGCTTTATAGCAGATGAGTCACGCGGTTTGCGGTGAACTTATTTAAGTGGGTGAAGGAGAGTACGAGTTAGGGTCGCCACGCGATCCACTAGCTGGGATAAGTCGCTATTTTATCCATGAAAGTGTTAATTAGTTGCGAAGCCATGTAATTTTTGTAGTTTCCTTGATTAATTAAACGTTGTTTAGCGTTATTAAATTAAAATGTTTTGACGAAATTTATCGAATTTAATTTAAACATTAATCTCATTCTCTTAACGTTGACGTTTACGATATTACAAGTAAATTTTTACTATTAAAAAAAAACTACTTAAATATCTCACAACCAGTACATTTCTAGTTAATTTTAAGGACTTTCCTCATGTATCTCCAATCTGAAATCCAAGGCCCAGAAGAAAAAGATATTTCAAAAATAGATAAATGATGGAGTTCAATCAATAAAAATACTGGCGAATTGAAAATCTCTTCCTTTTTTGTAGTCTTTTGAAAAAACGAACTGCAACTATTTGTGTTACTTCCACGAGTATAGCAAAATTTGGGGTTGAGGGCTGGGCTGGTGAATAGGTTAACCGCCACCATTAAGTTTGTCCGCGGTTGTGGCGGAAGTCGATAGGCGGCGGCAATTGCTACACTTTTCCAATATTTGGGGACTCTGCGCAATGTGGTGCAGCGTGCACACCCGAGCGCATGTTGTGTAAGGGCGCCGCGTTATGTCACCGCGCGAAGGCTTCGCGGCGCGTTTGTTCGGGCTTTCCATTGACCTCCCTCTGTCTCGAAACAGACGACCTCACTTGTCGAACCGCCTCAAGTTTCAATTTTCATTTCACAACTACTAACATTACCTTCACTTCGCTGTAACGATATTGATAACCTGACACGCAGGCTAGGTGACTAGTTCACACAGACACAGCAAGTTTTTAGAAGCTCAGCAAACGAAGTTTTATTTATAAACTAGTAACTTTGCATACGTAAAGATTTAAATATCGACAGCTATCGCTTCATTTTTGTTTTGCACATGGAGTGCTCTAATAACTATAATCTTTAATTTGAGAATATTGTAAAGACGACATTTCTGGATGGTATCATTAATGGTTTGTGTATAGAAGTTGACAGGATTTAATTATATCAGCTTTAATAAAAATATTTAAAAGTTATATATGAAAACTATATCTTCTATGTATATTTACCCGTAAATAACATTATCTGTATAACGACGGACTGCAATGAATAATAAAGAAACCGACAGTCCGAGTTCTTGTGACGAAGCGACAAAAACCACCTTAGGTTGCCTCTTGACTCTTGACCTTGTTTGTTTTAAATTGATTGGAGTAAATATAAAATTCAAAGCGTATAAAATTCTTATTTGCTCCGGATAATGAAATGATATGTGTGTCGTGCTCGTTATGTGAATAAAACACAAAACAAACCGGATGAACATATTGGCCTCCGAAAATGATTGCGGACTCAAAGAACTTTACGCTAGCAAGTGCAACTCTTGGGACGCGGATAACCCAATGTCCGCATTTAGAGTTGCACGGTCAGGGTGATGTTTGGATCGGCCGGCCGGTCGCAGTTGCGACTACTGGGCCGTTGCGCGCGTAAGCGTACACCCGGACGTGAGCCGGTGGGCGGTCGTGTCCACTCCACTGGGCCGAGGAGTCAACCGATACCCAGGGGAGCGGCCGAGGCGCCGCCGCTCGGAACGGCTGTCACAATGCAATCGGAGAGCGCACGCCACGTCCGTGTTGCGTCGACGGTTCCGTCGTTTCGAGCTCGGCGCGACCGAGACGTTGCCGTGTTCGAGATTCGATCCACGGTAAACGTTTAAGCCCTTCACGATCATTCGCAACGTCAATCTTTAAGAGGACGGGTCAAAGTCAAAGTCATCTTTATTCAATATAGAGAATTCACTTACTTATTGATAGTCAAAAAACTCTACCACCGGTTCGGAAGGTAATCCACTGACCTGAGAAGAACCGGCGTAAGAAACTCAGCGGGACATGTTTTTTTTACTTGCCAAAAAAAATTACAAATATGTGTACAATTATTAAACTCCACTTGAAAGAGCCTGGAGCGATCAATTCATTTTCAGAGTGTGTTATCATTCATATAATCACTAATACTATAATAGCCATTAAGACACAAACGTTCCTTTACAAGTTTTTTGAATTTAGCAACGGATTCATTTTGAACGTTTTCTGGGATTTTGTTGTAAAAGCGTCTACATTGTCCTATAAAAGATTTACTTATTCTACGCAATCTAGTTGAGGGTAGAACTAATTTATGCTTGTTCCTAGTATTTACATCATGCACATTACTAAATCTTGAAAAGTCATTCTTATTTTTGTGGACATACATAACATTAGCAAGTATGTACTGAGAAGCTACAGTCAATATTTTTATTTCTTTAAACAGGTTTCTTAGTGAATCTTTGGGGCCCAGGTTATAAACCGCTCGAATAGCTCTCTTTTGCAGGATGAAAATAGTATTTATGTCGGCTGCATTTCCCCAAAGTAGAATGCCATAAGACATTATACTGTGGAAATAGCTAAAATATACCAGACGAGCCGTATCCACATCAGTCAACTGTCTAATTTTTTTGACTGCAAAGACTGCTGAGCTAAGTCTACTCGACAGTTTATTAATATGGGGGCCCCACTGCAATTTGGCATCTACGGTTATGCCAAGAAATACAGTCGAGTCAATTAGGTCTAACGCTTCCCCATGTAAAAGTACATCAGTTTTTACACTTTTTACGTTGGGAGTTGTAAATTTAATACATTTCGTTTTTTTACTATTCAACATTAAGTTCTTAGCACTAAACCAATGCACTACCGTGGAGAGAGTATTGTTAACATCGTCATAATTTGAAGAATGTCGTTTAACTTTAAAAATTAAAGAAGTATCATCAGCAAACAATACTATCTCATGATCATTATTTATTATTTACACGTCACGGAATACCTCACTATTCAGATTGTTGAGGTACTTCTCCGGTCGAGCCCTCTCATCCGAGCACGTATGGGGGTTGTTTATGGAGATATGCGAAATTTTAGAATTTTTTATTTTATAACTTTTTTGGAGTTTTTTTAACGGAAGGAGCATATATTAACGAGTACCTCAAATACCTACATAGAGATAGAGTTCCTTTTAATATAGTGCCTCATATTTTCGAATACTTAGGATGCTTAGAAACCATTGGTGCTGCTTATTATTATTATTATAACACCTTGAAGAAGCTCATATATTTAACAATGTTTGGATATATTTGTAGAAGGTGGGGGATTTATATGATTAGAAGACTTTGGTTGTATTAATATCATTGATCACTTTATATAAGAAGCTTACTGTACTCACTTACTGGTGCTATGAAATAACTGTACAAGGTCCACGCAACAGTGTTCGCATGTAACGGATGGGCAGCTCCGTCCGGTGCAGTACTGCAGTACGAGCACAGAGCCACGGGCTCACAGAAGACCGGCGTCAAGTGGAAGTGTCTACTGAATGTGATAACCGGTGCCCACTTCTTAAAAGGTGGCAACGAATTTGTAATTCTACGGGTGTTGCAAATGTCCATGTGCGGCGGTTACCGCTTAAAACTTCTGACATAAAAAAAAAACCAAGATAATAATAATACATGGACATATCTACCGTATAAATTGCACTTCGGAGATAATCAACTCAAACGTTAAATAAAGTTATAAAATGAATTGGCAGTGTCCACCGCGACATCCATTTGGCGCGAAACGACGTCCGCTGCACAGGTCGCGATAAAGTGTTCACGTCAGCGCGGCGGCGCGCGTTATCGCTCGTTTTCGCCTCTCCTTATCGGGTGTGAAGCGCGATAAGATCGCCGCCGGCTTAGGATGCAACGCTCCGAATGTCTCATTCACGGGGAACACAAGATGGCGAAAGGAAAACGTTCCATCCGTTCAGCATGGAATATCCAATGAGAGTGCACAGTTTAAAAGAGAAAAAGATATATAAATAATGTGAACCCGTGTACATTATTCTTCTTCTCTTTACTCCGGTGTCCATGTTAATGTGCACTGTGTGAAGTCGATAACACTTGTCCTCTCTCAATTTCGTCAATAATGTTACACTTTGTCTGTTTTTAATCGTCGGGCATGTTAACTGTTGTAAGATTCATGCTAACTCTGAGGCCCATTATAAAAAAAAAAAGAACACTCGTGTCGTAAAAAATCCTGTCGAACCTTGGCAGGCGTGTTCTTGCGTCATAATCAATTAATGTTTTGTTTGTAAACTTCTCAAGCGGCGGATAGCCCCGCTGACCCCGTTGGTGGGGTGACGTCATGCAGTCAGAAGAGGTCCGCATTTATTGGTTTGCAAGTGTCCGTAGCTTCAACAATTATTCTTTCTTGCACAATATTATGGAAGCTTCGTAAGATGAAATAAAAACAATAATATCGGTCCTATTTGAAATATAACACCGTGACAATGTGACTCTCAAAATTTTCCGAAACGGGAATTAAAACTTTAAATGAACGCGAAATAATTATAATATGAATAATATTTTTATATTTAATAATTACGTTTTTTTTTATTTTATAACTGTGTTTGTGCACCTAACTCAACTTCTCAGTACCGCCCTAAGGTGGACTGGTAGAAAATGCTGTCAGCATTAAGTCCGCCTATGTACTGTTTTGTGCATGAAGTTTAAAAATAAATAAATAAAAATTAAAATCCTCAATTTGTTGTTTTATAATAGTGTGTAGTGTTCGTGTTAAAAAAATTCTAAAGCAAGAAATCATCATGTTAATGTTAAGAAGCTTTGTAAGCTAATAAACGCATACGAACTTAACGTAACTAGTAAAAGTAAGTGAAAGTATGGCAAAATTCGCAAATGTCAAAGGGTGGTCGGCCGACTCCGCTCAAATGCCATACGTAGTTTAACTACAAATATATTTTTATTGGTTGAGTTAGGTTTGCATTTGTGAAATGCTATTTTATTTTTCTTTTTTTATTTGAGAAATGTCAAACGAGCTGGCGGTTCACCTGATGTTAAGTGAAAACCGCCGCCCATGGATATTTGCAACACCATTGCAGATGCATTGTCACCTTTTAATAAAGTGGGCCCGGGCTACCTCACTCACCAGACGAAACGCAGAAGTGTAACACTTCTATTTTACGCCGGTCTTCTGTTAAGTCATGGTACTTACCCGGACGGACCTGCCCATTCATGCAACAGTGAATACTGTCGCGTGGTCCTACCACAGTTTAGCCTTAAAACATTCTCGTGTTTTGCAATAAGTTGCGGCATATCGGCAGCTCATGTTGAAAACGATCGATTTGACGCAACAGCTCCCGTGTCCATTGGCCGGTTCGTTTCCGTCAAATTTCGGCTCGCACGTTCGAATACGTCACGCTACCGGGACGGGCGACGTGCAAACCCGGAAAGCACGTATATAGCGAGGCGCCCTCAGTCTTTGCTAATAGTGTAACAACACATATTTCGTACTCATTTTTGGTTCTTCCGGGGAAATACCACGGCCTCAGAGATCAGGCTGAAGTGGAAATAAAATGTACACTTTCTAGACTTAGTTTTGTCTGGTGAGATAAAACTACGTTTGTCGATAGAACATTTTCGACGTTTTGAACCATTTTCAGCGTTCATGGTCACGGGTCAAACTGAGGCGTTGGACGTAATGTCATATACAAGACCTTAGTCCGGGCTAACGTCAGTATTTCAATCATTAATTTTGTGTCCGGTCTACGATCGGGTCTACTACGGGAGATCGGGAAGTAAAATTAAAAATAAACGCTATAAATCCGTAGTAAAATAGTTTCATTTAGTCATGTGTAAATTATCGAAGAAATTTATTTTATATAACCTTGTTTGAAAGAATAATATTTAGTTCTTAACGGCCGTGAACTCTCCTTCAGATCCCCTCCAGGACATAATATCGGCTCTCCTGTCGCGACACGCAGCGGGAATGTGTCGCGCACCCTATAATTAGCACTTGTTTAGGTTGTCTCTGTTCCGACGGTCGCTCGCTCGTGTAAACTATCCCGTGTCGACTAATTGAGTACCGCTACAGGACTAAAGCTGCTCCTTTGTTCCAATGCTGTCTGTACCGACGATGGTTATGATAAAGTAGACAACTTATATAAGAAGTAGTTCAACATAACGGAGATAAGTAATGTGTCCAGTTTTTAAGATGATGAATTTTACTTAAGAGCTCCGAAAAACATCAAAACTTGTTGCTACCATTTCTGTTTGACCTCGACGATCTAGCATCAACATTCTAGACAATCTTATACTTTATTCATTACATTACAGCCATTTTCTTTTCGTCTTATTAACCGTCGTTGTGAGAAACGCTTTTACTACGATATATTTGTGCAGTTTAGTTCCACGTGGGCATTTCACTTTCTTTTGCGTCCAGAAACAGATAATCGCTCCAGCGGCCGAGACGACGCGAGACTAATGACATAATTCCATTGGAAAGTGTGATTTCCAAATGCGCTAGTAATCGTGCTAAGTATCGTTACGATCACGGCCATAATCGCCTACAGGTATTGCAAGTGTCCTAAATGTTAGTCAGATGAGGACGTAAAATTATTGTGCATCGGTATCTGAGAGTCAATGCTGCCTATAGGCAAATCGGTTTGGGCACCACTGGTCTGCACTAACGTAATTGCAGCGTAACGGACAGATCTCACGACCGACACAAACGCTTCCGCGACATGCCTCGTGGTTGAACTGAGCAATTTATTTTACTCATCAAATACTACTTCCATTAGTGTATGCAGTGATGTATTTAGTTGGTGTGTTGACGTGTGTGGGTTTATCTAGTTGGCGTATATTGAAAGAGAGTTATCTCTCACAGATGATGTCGGAAGCACATTTATTTTTATGTGACAAAGTGGCAAACGAGTTGGCGGTTCACCTGATGTTCAGTGATATCTGCCGCCCATGGACATTTGCAACACCCGAAGGGTTGCAGAAGCATTGTCACCTTTTAATGAAGTGGGCCCCGGCTACGTCGCTCACCAGACGAAACGCAGAAGTGTAACACTTCTGCTTTACGCCGATCTTCTGTGAGGTCGTGGTACTAACCCGGGCGGACCTGCCCATTCGTGCAATAGCAAACACTTTTGCGTGATCCTACCACAGTTGGAACAGGATTTGCTTTTTTCGTCACAGTGGCTACTGCTTTCCAGTCCGAACTTAAATTGGAATCAGGAATAAAAATATAACTTGAAGGACGTTTACATTTCTAGCTTTTGGTGAAAACTGATTAATCGGTAAACTTGAGAGTTCGTTACAGGCATCCGCAACATTCGTGTTGTAGGCCCTTGACTAGCATAACAAAAAAAAATATCTTTATTCACATAGACCCTTGCGCGTTCTTATGAAAATGTTCTGGATGTATGTTCTGTATGAAACGGAAAGCAGTTTCTGTTGAGAAGAAACCGGCAAGAAACTCAACAGTTGCCCTTTATTAAAAGGTCAGTTTATAATATAATGTTACAGGTAAATAGTCTTTTTTTAGCCTAAGTGAGTTTCAACAGTATTAACCCCACACATTGGCGTCGTCAAGATATTCAGCAATAGTATAATATGCTTTAGCCATAAGAGTTTTCTTTTAAATTCATCAAGTTGCAGATTTAATATCGACTTAGGCTTTTGTTACCTCACTCACTAGGCGAAACGCAAAAGTTTAGTATAAACAATTATTAGTTTAGTACAAACACTCGTCCAACATTGCGCGACTCTATCATCAACACTTTGATGCGTCTAGGCTGTCTTAATATTATGAAGATATTTGACATTTAAAACAATGAAACAACAACTTTACGTGCTATTATTTTTGAAATTGCTTCCCATTATCTATTAACATACAAAAACCGGGGTTTGAGTTCCGAGTCGACTCGCGACAGACTGGAATATACCAGAGACAGTGCTCTTACTACATCAGTGTGCACCGTTATAGTTAAATGTTTCTACGTATTATTTACCTAGCAATTTCTCAGCCCCCATCTTAGTAACCTGTCAATTCGTCTCTGTCGCGAGTGCTTAGATCCAGTGCGGAATGAGAGTCGCTCGACAGTTAAAACAAGTGGTACGTCATCTGAACTCTTAGAGCACAGCAATCGCTCGGGTACCGCTCAGCCAGGAAACGGGCTTCGACTGGTTCTAATTATTCCATTTATCGCATTCTCACGGGCGAGGTGCTGTCGAGACATGCGCTCTATTTGTCATTCCTGTGAAGCCGAGTGGGCATTTAGCCTTGGCAGATTCAATGGGAGGCTTCTAATGCCTTGAGTAAGGGACTCAGGAGCGACTCTGGTTTTACCGTCTACGCACTGAATGTTAAAAATTCTTTAAGATAATTTCAATACTCTGTAATACAATTGTGTAATTTTAAAATGTATCTTTCGTAGTATGATCTGAGTTGTAGTTTTATTATTATGTGAACGCCGTTTTAGCCGTCGGGACCACTACCTACTTCGTGAAGTTAAAACCTTTCATGAATGTCTTGACTCAAATATGTAAATGAATTGAAGGAAATCCGTTTATGCCGTGATGATTAACGCTTGTAAATATTGGCCGTATGTTTTTCCAATAATTGTTTGTTCCATAAGAGTATTAACTAATTTTATTTTTAAGTTTATAATGGCTCTCATTTCTTTATTGATTGTACAGTTTTATACAGAGTTAAGTAGGATTCCTTCGCCGCTATAGTGCCTGATGACTTAGCGTTTGCCTCATTCGCCATTGTTTTTAGAAGCGACGGAAGCTTCTAGGTTGGTTGCATTTTCCCAGCGCCTCGCTCCATTGCTCCCACAAAGCTGCGTCTCTTGCGCACGAATAGCTTTTCGCTTTTTCCAGGCACCGTTCGGCTTCACGGAACCTGTCCCCGACGACGCCTCTTCGCCGAAGCTCGGCCCACTGTCTCCCAATTTTTGTGACACCTGTCTCATCTTAATCTCTCGACAGGCTGCTTTTTTCTTGCGACTCGAGGACAGGTTTCAATGTGGCTTTTCACCGCAGCTTCCTTCGTGGCAGAGTGTGTCATTCGTACTTGCTTCAGTTTTCGCCTGTTGCTCCATTATCGGGCTGTAGTCGAAACGTCCTGAAGAGAAATGCTTCGCGTCTAGCCTCCGCCCTAGGTTATCAAATGATCGAACGTTTGTGGATCCGCATCGTCGCGACATTAACCTTGAAATCGCGCTTGCCGATAGAGCGGCGACGTTGGCCCACGGCCTTGGCACCGAAAGCGACGGTCACCACGGGGCTGGTCGGTGGCGGCGCCTTAGTCACCAGCCGCGAAAAGCTGCCATGGGTTCAATGGCCATAAATCGTCCCCCAATTCCGTACAGTATAGGAAGTGCGGCTTATTTATAGAGTAGGGTGGGGCGCGTGGCGCGCGCGCCGCGTACGCCGTCAGTGCCGCCCGAGCGTCCGCCGCGAACGCACGTGTCTCTGCGCTCTGCGTGTTACTACCGAAGCGACAGTCGAGATCGCACGAGAGCGGACCGTGTTCGTGATCGATACGCAATCCGCGCCCCGACGGTACGCCGAGAGTGCATCAGCGTGGGCCCCCTTTGCCCGGATTGCGCCCCCGCCACGGCCCCGACATGAGGCCCAAGGACGAGACGGACGCGAAGCTCCAGAGCGGGACCTTCATTCTGTCCGAGAAGATCGATGACACGAAGGCGAAGAAGAGCGAGAAGGAAATGAAGAAGGAGATGAAGCGGCTCGAAAAGGAGAAGCAGGAGAGGGAGAAGCGGGAGAAGAAGGCGCGCGAGAAGGAGAAGGAGCGCGAGAAGCAGGCGAAGAAAGGTTAGCAGCTGATGTTCAGCGCTTTACTGTGGTTCCTAAGAGTTGCCGCCGTGCACTCTCGCGTCATCGTAATAAACTTGTTATTATTTAGTGCTCTCACGGCTATTGTTGTCGCGGTTACGTCACTATCACGCCGACCTTGGTAGCACATTAGTAATCCGACGTTTCTCGCCGATTCCACGGCAATTTGAGCGTTATCAGATAAGTCGCACGGCGCTCGTCGTGTTTCACTTTTCTTTATAGACCGCGCTGAGGCGTTCGGTGGTCGGCCGCCAGATGAATTTCCTTCGCGGACTGGTTTCAAATGTACGAATTTGCCGGAAAGAGGTTACAAAGTGGTCGCGTAGGATTCGTGCTGGAGCCTCAATCCTTGCGCCACTCGAAACATAGATTAATTGTTTCATTTTCGAACGTCGATCTCTTAAACTTAATATTGGCACACGCACTGTTTTGCATGCGAAACAGAGAGACTAGATCGTCCTGGCTTTGCCTGTCTTGTAAAATATCTTATTTATCTATAGTATGTGTATATAAATGAGATATTTTTTAATGACAATTTTATTGCCTCCGAACAGCCGCATTGCCAATTTAATGTGCGGAATACGCATTAAAAAGATGTTTCTACACAAGCAGACGTGCTCGTGGTGTATTTGTTGCCATCCAAACAAATATATAGCGACAGTGTGACACATTCGTCGCGAATCCAGTCTAATTTTATTCGCATTCGAGTGTGGTGAGAGACCGCGAGCCGTTCCACCTTCGTGTTCTCGGAAATTGAATTCGTCAAACGTCCGAATATAATTTCTTGCGGTCACTTTCTGGCAGCGGTACCCGTGGGACATTCGTAGCGATGATAAGTTCGTGAATGATTCTACGAAATCATTAACGCGGCCCTGCAAATCGTCCGGAATCATTGGCCAAATGTTTGGTCAAATTACCAATTAGACAATTGCGGCAATGATGTAATAAGCGTCAGTAAAAAGAATGTAAATAGGGGCTTGCGACGAAGCGATAGGGACTTGGCGATTGTTTGTGAAATAGCTTTGCGCGTGTTGGTAGAGACTACACACACAACACAGGATGTTTGTGTTCTGCATGCGCTTACAATTTACATCGTTAGTTTAAACATACTACTAGTTTCAGCCGTTCTTCTAACTGCTTTTATTGAAAACAAGATTATCCCATAATTTCTTCAAAACCTGTAGATATTATGTTTGACAAGTTTTTAATTTTGTCCAACATTGGAAATAATTTATACTTTCATTTGAATATAATCATTAGAAATGTCTTAACGAACGCATAACTTAGCGAACACTATTATATACTAATCTCTTAAAAAGTGTTCGCGCAGAATTACAAATCACTAATGTTGTGGTGAAATGCGAGGGAAACCGTCTCAAGAGGGGCCTACTATAAAAATATTTACACTCAACCCGATCTCATTATGCGACAACACGAAATTTCCCTGCTCACAGTAAGTAGATAGCTGGCTCGATCGACGTTACCTTCAGTCATTACATTCAACGGTCAATTCATGTGATGTCTTCAAATTTCTTCAATTCAATTCTTTCAAATCAATCATAATCTAGTTTGTTAATTATAATTAAATTTTTTTTGTATGTAATGGAAATCGGTAAACGTGCCTAGTACATACCTATTTGGTTTCATGCCTCAGTTATATATTCTTTTAATTGTTAACATAGTGTTCGTTGAAACCAAATAAATATTCATTCATTCATTCAATGCAGGGCTGTGTAGCAATCGCCGTTCGAGTGGCTCATGGTTTATTCATGCGACCGGTGCTATCTACTAGTGCAATTGGTAGGGTTCGATCCCGACCCTTCCGTAATTCGCGTGGCGGTTGACAGCTGATGGCGAACACGGCCGACGTCGTTTGTTATAGCCAGGGCTGTCTAAGGAGGCAGGAAGGTGAAACAGACACCATTAAAAGACAGATTACTGGATTAACGAGTTAAGAATTGGTAATAAACGCAATAAAATCGGAATATTACTAATGTGAGCCGAAATTTTATTGAATTAATTCTGTTGTTTTATAGAATGTAGTAATAAATTATTTAATAAATATGTCTTCACTGTTTTTCAAGTCTTGAATCTAAATCTATATCCAAGATTTTTGCTGGAATTAATTTAACTTAGTTCTTTTCTTCATCTCCGAATCTTTTTATGTTACTATGGTTCTCTGGCAATTAGGCCTAATTATATCTATATTGTGTTATAAATATCCATTGTTTAACGCAAATCAAAGATTATTGGAATATTTTCTCCTAAACATGTTGTTTTTAAACCTTAAACGCAGCCATCCCGCTCGTTTTAAAAGTACACGTAAAAATCAATCGTCATCAAGTCGTGATGCTGCAAAGCAATCTCGGCCGCTATCGGCGCTCCGTCCCAGACCCTCGTAATCCAAAAAACGAATGGCGAGTCACGAGCGACGCAGCGATCGCCAGTTATATACTTTTTTCTGCTCAACAAAATAATCTGTTATATCTCATCCTTGATAGATAAATCTACTAACTCCACTTCGTCCCATCAAAAAATATAAATGAATGTTTATAATTCCCTTATTATTTCCTCTGTATTTTCTCTATTTATTTATCGGTTGACTTGTACGAAGAGTTAATGAATACTAGTGACTATATTAATGAATACCAGTGATTATATTTTATTAATAGTTAAAAAAAAGCTTACGATAAATAGTCTGTATTAATTGGTTAGATTTGGTATTGTATTTCAAACTATCCGTATCTAGAAACGACAAATACCTCTTTAAAGTTAATTACGTTAATCATTAAGATATAATGGACACAACGATTTTACTAAATACGTCTATTTGGCGTATAAGTTCGAGCTGAATAGTTATATGCGTTTTATCTACGTCATTAGCCGCGCTCGGCCATTGATGCCTACTGGCCAAACACATCAAACTTTGCCAACTACTGCTGAAGTTTACTATGAGGCGTCCATCCATATACTCGTACATTTTTAAGGACGATAACGTTTGGTTGGGCTCTACGCGTAGCTCCCAACGGTGCTAGGCGCAGCCCTACCGTTGCGCAACGAACTCTAGACCGATTCCCCACCGCAGCTGTGAGCTCTCGCCAGTACGGGCTTTCCATCGCGTTTGTTTCCTGCACCGTCTATAGGAGGCCGCGGTGGCGCATTCGCTTCCGCCACGCCGCGTTATGTCATCCGTGTGTTCGCTACCGTTTCCAGGCCCGCGTTCATTTCGCTTAAGTCCCCTTTGGCTTATTAGGTAACCGGCCGATACCCGCGTCGAGTTTGTCTCCGTCGAGTTATTACAACTACACTGTTTGCCTCACTTCATCACATATTCACGTCACAAGAAAGCACACTTATAAAAATCGTTGTTGAAACTAATAATTTTACACATTAAATGATACGCAATATTTTTTTATATCAGTGCCCAGTGTCAGTGTCTCATGTAGCGCTTGCGTGAATACAGTCGTAGAAATTATATTTTTTGCATGTTTTTTTTCTCCGTCGAAGTAACAGGTGTCTTTGATGTATTTATTTCTTCGTTATGCATGTAAAAAATGACATACGTAGGCGGACTTAATGTCATCATAAAATGCAATGTATTGCACCAAAGGACTATTCGGTGACATCGCGTCGGACTTGGCTCCGAGGTGTTGCAAAACGTCTCAGCGCGAAGACGATCAATGTTAGGTGCGAGGTCGTCAACCTGGCAGGGGCGAAACTACGCCACGGCGGCGGTCTGCCATTGAAAAAACTCTACTCATAACGATTGTTGCTCCACGGTTCTAATGCACTTTTTGTGCTTCTTCGAGGCCTCGCGTTTAATTGCCGGTGCATGACTTGTTCCTCCTTTTGCCTTTCTAGCGCCTCGTTCCGTACTCGCCGCTGAAATCGATTAGGTATCGGGGGCGTGCCTCCGCTGCCTCGTTCGAGCTCCCCATGTTTGTTTTGCTTTGCAATTAATGCCCAAGCTGACGCTTTCTACTCTGTGCCACTTGACCATTTGCTTTTCGCATTTGAACGATCCCAAATGATTTTTCCCTGCCACCGAGCAGCGTTCGACTTTCTTCGATATGTTATCAATACTGTTTTTAGTTGTTCTTTCAACACGTTGTCTTCTGCTTTCAAACAAATCCCAAAACTTATTTTGGGTTTTGCCTGATCGACCGCTTCGATGTATAAATAGATATGGAATATGGCAGTTGCGATTATAGTGATGGTATCTCTAGCGAAATCGTGTATAATGTACGATATTACGATTGTGGTTGAAAGGACAAAAATCTATGGCGGTAGTTAGTGCTTTCTGAATGGTTGTATGTACTCGTACATCTGATCTATGTCTGCTTTGCCTTTGTGAATGTTCCCGGCGAGAGTAAACTCCGCGCAACGTGTCAGTATTTGTCGTGCTAGTTGAAATAAGAAATAAGAAATATTTATGGCGTCAGATTCCGGATAGTATTTTCAATAACAATTCAAATTTTAACAAATCGCTTACATATTGTTATAAGTAATAGCATATCAGGCTCCACTTGGAGAACGTTGGGCCATTATGCCAAGAGCTGCTAGGGTCGACAAATCGCGTTGTTTCGAGAAGTTTAGAAGCGTTCCATGCCCGTTCGGAATTATCTCTGGCGCACGGATGCCAACTTAGGAATTTTCTTCCTAAATCTACGAAGAAAAAATGTACAAATTAGGTTTTTAAAAGGTGTATTCAAAGCAAAACTTCATAATTGTTTGTTATTTAGGAAGTTTTGATTTAAAGTGAATTTTAGTGGGTTTTTGAAGTTCTTTAGAAAATTTTGTTCGAACGGTTGGTAACACTGGCCTGGCGCCGCGTCCCAAATAGCCCGGCGGCGCCCCGACGTGTGAACCACCACCGATCGCGGCTCGTTCACGGCTCGTTCACGGCACACTTCCGCATCTCCCACGAATAAGCGGACCGTTTCGGTTTTATTTCGAAACGGCCCATTGTGCCAATTCCACC